TCCCAATCTTTTTTCAAAAAATGCCGCAGGTCTTCTGCGAAAAGTTTCAATAATTAATTAGGGCAAAACTTGGTCAATCTGCAAAAGTATTCGCCGCCAGCAGGGGTCGATCCTGCGACCTAGGGCTTTATTAGACCCACGCTCACACCAACTGACCTACGGCGCATTTTTCTAAATCTGTCATTATTATTTAGTGAAGTAGTGTGTGGTAGGAAGGCTGAGCTGAATCCGCAAAAAGAGTTGGGCCGAGCAACTCGAATATGTCCTCATGTATGATGCGAAGCACCTTAGCACTTGCAAAGAAATTTTTAGGCTGATGTTAATTTCACTCATCTTGCTTTTGATTGTCACTGACAATGGTACCACCGCCACTCCCATCAACAGTGAAGAGGTTTTATTTTGGACTTCTATAAATTATTTTCGAATTCCTTGCTTTTATTTTCCATGCTCAGTTGATGGCTTTGCACTACGATTTGTTATTGATATTACAGTTCTTCAACGAAACGGAAGTGGAGACCATAGAAAGGATTAGTGACATGGGAAATGAAGCGCTCAGAATGTTTCATCCCCCACCTGAAGCAAAGAAAGTACTTGAAGATTGCAAAGTATGTCAGTAATCAGTAATTCATTGCTTTGAAAGTATAACATGTGCGGCAAATCCTTTGGTCCTCGGAAGCACCTGACAGTTTCGCTTCTGTTTTCCACTTGAGTGGAGAGAAAATTTCTGCCATCTGGCCCTCCGGGGCCGGTTGAATGGTAACTCACTCATGAAGGATAAAAGCACTGACCTGTACATCCTTCGTCACCACATGTGATACGAGGGTAGGCTAGATACTCAGGCACTACGCTACTACTATTTTGGATAGAAGCCGAGTGATGAGTCCCATCCAAATACGGCATTGACCCACGCCAAGAACCTTTTCCACTTTACCATGTCTTTTCTACTTCATGCTGGTTGTAGCGGGCATTATAATCACAATAGTCTCCCTATTACCTCAATCAGATTGGAACAGGTAGGTTATGAAGCAATCTCGTATTTGAAAATTATTTGATATCCTCTTCAGCGAATGTCACCAGTGGTGCTCGATCACATAAATCCAAATGGAGACTACATTGACGAAATTAACAGGAGAGCCAAAATCGACGAGAAGCTTTTCCAGGGTGACATCTACCTCGATGAGTGAGTTTCCGTAATGGAAACAGGATATCATGCAAAGGCCAAGGTATAAATGCATATTAAAGGGTGCAAGGTGATATTATCCTCGAGGAACTCGAAGAACAACTCAAAGGTACCAACCGCACTAAACGTCAGGCGATTAGAGACAAAGATGGCGTGAGGCTTTGGAAGGATGGCACAGTACACTACATCTTCAACGTGACTCTAAGTGAGATAAACGTATTCCGCTACTAAACAAACTGTTTTTATATATTAATATAGTTTCGGATAATAGAATGGAATTTAAGGCGAAGATGGGAAGGGAGCCTTTCTCAGAGGAGTGAATGCGTGGACAAAAAACACATGTATAAAATTCAACCACCTCTCTCAGCTTGAACACATAAACGAAGTGGAGATTCTTAAGCGATACGGTAATGCCTTTTCAAAGACCTCTTCATGTTTTAGAATAATTGGACGTTGTAAACGATAATTCTTCACGTGATAACGACTGATGTGATTAATGCCGACGATATCGATTTTGCAATAGTTTTCTGTCAAAATTTTCTGAAAGTAATGAATGATATCGTGTTTCGCTGGATATGATTGTCCTTATGCGCTGCCTTTCAGAGCTGACTTCTGAATACTACACAAGTTTCCAGGTCTGGATCTACTGATAGTACAAGCGAAAGGCGGACGTTGGTCGAGTGTAGGGAGGACAGGAGGCCTGCAACAAATCTCTCTGGCAGACGCCTGTGAGACAACCTCTATCGCCGCTCATGAACTTGGCCATACTCTTGGGTTTTACCATACCATGTCTAGACACGATCGCGATCAATACGTTGTAGTAAATATGGAAAACATTCACGTACGTTCAATAAGAAGAGGATATAGTAGAAAAAAATTATCCTTAATCACACACGTTTCCAGGAGTACTGGCGAAGTCAATTCAAGTGGCAGACGGAAGAGACGAACGATAACTTTGGTTTGGGTTACGACTATGGTAGCATTATGCACTACCGTGCATCGGAGTTAGTATTTTTCCCAACTTTGCTGAACGGAGGGCATCTTATTGTTAGTAGCTATCTAGCATATGTTCGTTGTTCAGCTGTTTTCCTGCACTGGTGTGATGCGATGGCGAATCCAGTGTTTCAAAACCCTTGAGGTCAACCGATTTTTGAAAAATTTACCTAGAGCCGGTTCGTTTTAGAGCATCAATTTTTTTCAAAGAATATCTTTAAACAGCGCTGCGATCAACCGACTACAACCAACGCTGTTGCCCTTTGACAAGGACTATCTAACAACTCTTGGATCGCCATTCGTTTCCTTCATTGATACTTTAATGCTGAACAAGCTCTACGGATGCGATAGTGAGTTGTTGAAATTGATCATTTTTACTGGAAACTCTAACGACTGGAGAGCTTCGATAGCTTTTCTTCTTCAGCTTTGCTCGAGTATGCTCTTTAAAACTATACTATTTGTTTAGCCTATTGCAATTGCTTCTAGAGTTGTGCGAAGGTTCAAAAACGATTTGTCATAACGGTGGATATCCTCATCCGCTTCACTGCAACAAGTGCGTCTGTCCTGAAGGATATGCCGGAACTCGATGCAACAGGAGGGTGCGAGAACACTATTCTTGAGACTACATAAATCTACTTACATATATTTTCAGCCCAAAGAAAGTCCCAACGAATGCGGTCAAACATTTACTGCATCGACGGAATGGAAAGAGTTCACAGATTTCTTAGGCGATTATAAATCTCATGGAAACTACACCAAATGCTATTACTGGATTGAAGTAAGCGGCGCGGTTCTCCTCAATGTTAAGAGTTGTAGTCTTCGAGGAAAATTCGAATACACTAACTAGTGAACATAAAGAGAACATGTGGTTCCCAAACTGGTAGCCGTTTTCATTCCAGTCTAAAGAAAACACCGAAATTGAAGTGGAGCTCGTAAGCTTCTCTGAAGAGCATGCTCTCGAAGGTTGTCTAAACGCTGGTGTAGAAATCAAGACAAACGAAAATCAGCAGCTAACTGGATATAGGTATCTTTTTTGTAAAAGCATGAGTTCAGTGAAATAGTGTCAGCTTTCTCCAGACCACTCTTGAATTTGCATTCTAATATCGCACTTAGATTCTGTTCTCCAAGCGCGGCAGGGACCAAACTTCGTTCCTTTTCTAAGCGGGTTCCTATAATAACATGGAATAGAGCCTATATATCAAGAACAGTGTTGCGATACCGACAAGGTAATATTATGGTATCTGTGACTGAGCACGTTAAAACCACACCGAACTTCTTTAGTTCCGAAGAACGAACCTCGACCAACTACATGGAGGTCACGATTCCGCGAGACTCGGCCCCCTACCACTACACTACTCCACCACCTCCTGTGGAAGAGCAGAACCAGTGTAAAGATCACTATCAGTAAGGAAAAGATCTCGCTTTAAAAGTCGTTTAAAGATTGAGATGTTGTGTTGATTTTCCAGATGTCCGGAACACGTCGCAGCCGGATTCTGCACTCGTGACGGTGTCACGCATGAAGAAAGGAAGAGATTCTGTCCCGTGTCATGTAATTTATGCCATGAATTACAACGTTCGCATTAATAAACGACTGTTTATTCCACAGTTTTGCGTTCATGCGCTTGTTTTTTTTTCCAAATTGAAGATAAATTTCAGATGCGTTCGACTCAAAGCAAATTTTATTACAATGAACACATTTCAACTATGATTTGTAAACATGGTTACCACATAAATCACTAATGATGAGAGTGACTTAACACTTCCTGACCCTCTCTTTCTTTTCGGTCATGAAATAAAACGAAAGAAAATTTCCAGAGAGAGCGAAGTTCATAGACAGCCATAAGGTTCTTTCTTCCTTAATGAACTACTTTGAAACATTATTTCCAAAAATCGATAATTAGCGGCTTATGTGGCGATTCAAGAAGAAGTAGCGGTCTTGTTTAATTTCACGTGGGACAGGGGCGCTGACAGGAAAAGTGAAATGGTCGAGAGATCAGATTCCGCGTCCAATCGGGATTTTCACCGTACATGATGAGCTTCTTAGCGCACAACTGCATTGTACATGTAGAGTTAAATGTTGATGAAATGTATCACTAGAAAAAAGACCGCGAAAGGTCGCGAGACCAAGTTTACATGCACTCCTTTAACACAGTGCTCGTCACTAGGAGCTGAAACCTAAGTCAAAGCTTAAATAAAAGGATATAGCATAAAGGGGTCGATGAATCTCCGTGGTATGATACTGAACAAATGGGTAAAAAACTGTTAAACCAGCCATAACATGAATGGTCATCCTAGCTTGAGAAAGCAGTAATAAACAGCTTCAAATTTGTGCGGAAAACCTTACATGATGCTACAAATAACCTTTACCATCTTTGGCTGAGCGAATTGACAAAGAGTAGCTCAACGGCGAAATTGACTCTGGGGGAATGTCCAAAGCGATCTCGCCTTGAAATTCTTGTCAACTGAGACAATGCTATGATAAAGTCACTAAAGTGAAGGATAAAAGATAAAAGCATTGAGTAATCCCTTGTGGGGTATGGGCCTCCGTCCGTATTCGACTTCCATTCATAATCGTAGTAGCGCATTGAATGCGTATGTGGTCTACACAATGAACTGGTCGCCTGATGTACAAGCCAATCGAGGCATTTTTTCCTCCCACACGAGCCTGGTACCAATTAACCGATCCCAGAGGAATGGAAGATCCAGCGGGCTAAAGCGGAAATCGACTCGAGATTCGAACCCGTGACTATGCTTGTGTTCTAGTGCGCCACACGCCACTACATCACCTCTGCCCACTAAAGTAAAAAGAAAACAAATATTTGGTTACAGCAACGAGATCGCTTCATGCGCGATCTATGAGGCCTTCAATTGACGACGGCTTTAAATCGAGGGTTAGGTTAGCCGGTACTGCTACCATTGAATGGCTTTGAAGGCAGTTTGGATAATAGTCTACATATCTACTGCTGCATCTATTAGGTTGGCAAATAAGTCCTGCGACAAAAAATTTGTAGCGTTTAAAGTTTGTATCAACACGGTAGCCAGAGTGATAAACTTGTAGGACGTTCCCCGGGCAATCAACACATGGGTAAACAAGGGCATGCGATGCGTGTGGGCTTTC